TTAGCGTACTTCGTGTTTGTTTACGCTGCTTAGAGTAGAATGAACCGTGTTCGGGATTCAAGGCACGGAGACGAAATAAGTGAAAAATACGTTGTTGTAATGATGATACTCGCATTCATGTCTATTTTTTTTCATTTTTTTTTAGAAAAAAAAAAAAATCAAATGCGATACTATGGAAGTCGTGCACAGATTATAAAAAATAGTAAGTTGACCTTACTGAATGCGTTTGTTTAGCGTACTTCGTGTTTGTTTACGCTGCTTAGAGTAGAATGAACCGTGTTCGGGATTCAAGGCACGGAGACGAAATGAGTGAAAAATACGCTGTTGTAATGATGACACTCGTATTCACGCCCATTTTTTTTTTTATTTTTTTTTTTATTTTTTAGAAAAAAAAGCGATACTATGGAAGTCATGCACACCGAGCAAATCGAGCGAAATTCAATCTTAGATTATAAAAATAGTAAGTTGACCTTAGTAGAATGAACCGTGTTCGGGATTCAAGGCACGGAGACGAAATAAGTGAAAAATACGTTGTTGTTATGATGACACTCGCATTCATGTCTATTTTTTTTCTTATTTTTTTTTAGAAAAAAAAAAAAAAATCAAATGCGATACAATGGAAGTCATGCACACCCGAGCAAATCGAGCGAAATTCAATCTTAGATCATAAAATTAAGTAAGTAAACCTTACAGGGTGCGTTTGTTTAGCGTACTTCGTGTTTGTTTACACTGCTTAGAGTAGAATGAACCGTGTTCGGGATTCAAGGCACGGGGACGAAATAAGTGAAAATACGTTGTCGTAATGACGACACTCACATTTACGTTCATTTTTTTTTTACTTTTATTTTTAAATGCGATAATATGGAAGCCGTATTTGTATCTCAAAAACCTAAGTAAAAAATCTCGAAATACTAAGCAAAAATAATTAGAATTTTGACCTTAATATCAGGCCCTTATCTTTTTCTAAAACTGCACCTTAACCTTAAATTTTTGGTAAAAGTTAGAGGTTGTAAGAATTACCACCGGTTAAATATAGTAATCATTAAAAAAGAAATCTATTTTCGATTTTTTAAATATTTTTATACTTTCCATTGGACTTTAATATTACATAGGATTTAACAAAATACATAATAATAAATTCAAATTTAATAATTTATTAATTTAATACAGTATCAAAGTTTATAGATTTTTTTTAAAAATGTCTTTCGCTTTTGGCTAAGATTTTCACTTGCGAGTATTATATTTTAGAAAATATTTAATTGTTACCGGGGGATATTGATATCCGGGGTGCTATATTTCAAAAAATGGACTAAGAAACAGGGTATGGCGTACTAAGTAAAAAAGTTCGTAGCACCCCAAAACCTTGTGTTACCTAAATTTGGACTATTATATCTGTCCTTATTTTGGCGTAAAACTGCACCCTAACCCTAAATTTTAATAAAAACTATTATATCTCAAAAAACTAAGAAACAGGGTCAGACGTACTAAGTAAAAATGTCCGGAACCCCAGAACCTTGTGTAACTTAAAATTTGGACTATTATATCTGACCCCTATTTTGGCATTAAACTGCACTCTAACCCTAAATTTTAGCAAAAAACTATTTTTCATAATAAAATCGGGGGTGGATATCAATATCCCCCGGTGTCATATTCATTTTTACTATATTTTATTGATATAGTAATCAAAAATTGTGGCAGTCTGAGATCAAATAGTGAATAAAACATCAAATAAGTAAATTATCTTGTATAAATTCATTAATATCTTAGAGCATGCATTAATAGCTCATCGTCCGGCAGTATTAATCAAAATAATACTAGCCTTAGCTACAAATGAAAAAAATTGAAAGTCAAAATCAGAAACAAAAAGATCAATATTTATATACAGTAATTATAGCAATTAATAACATCTACATATTCGTGTATGGAATAATTTTTCGCGCACTAGTGACAAATCGAATGTTGATTTTAGACTACCCAAGATGATGGAAAATTTGACTTTAATTCCTTATGAGGTGTAATTAATAGTCTTAAATTAAGTTCTGAAAAATAGTCAAGATGCCAAAAAAGCAACTTTGATGAATTTGCCAAAAACTCTATTAATATTGAAGAAATCTATGTGTATAATTCTCTCGATGCATCAAATTCATCAATATAATTTGCAAAAAAATATTTAGATTATAATAAAAGATGTGCAATTCAATGAGTATATTCATAGATATGTAATTTTTCGCTTGTGCATTATCATCTGAAGAATGGTTAGAGTTTGCATCCATAACCTCGAAGTAAAAATGCTTGCCTTCAATTGGAACTAGGTTTTCTGAAACAGGGCATGAAATGGAACTGTAGTAATAAACTCTGAATGAATTACGTTATTCTAATATTAAAACGAAAATATATAAGTAGAGGTCTTTTTCGATTTTTAACAGCTACTCTACCTTGTTTAGTGTGTCGAAAGTGCATCGGGAGTGCGTCGAGTGTAATCCAGGTTCGCATAAGGAGAGCTCCTCCCTACGTTACGAACACAAAATAGAATTTCCAATTATATTATATAATTGGAAATCCTACTTTGTATTCGTAACGCAAGAGGAGCTCTCCTTATGCGAACCTGGATCACACTCGACGCACCCCCGATGCACTTTCGACACACTAAACAAGGTAGAGTAGCTGTTAAAAATCGAAAAAGACAGCTAATATATGAGCCTCTGTTGCAAATAAGACTCTGCAAGTATGTCAGGCATTTTGATTAGTAGGTTAGTTGATGTCTAAAAAATTTTACCATTTTGTGTAATCGAGCTTTCGGAATTCAATTGACAATTCAGATTCGGACCTCGGATCGGACCTGCGAAGCACTAATACAAGCCTAATACAAGCTAATATTATAGCAAAATTACGATCCGAGCAACTTAGTACTGTACATCGGTTAGCGGGTTTATTAGTAAAATTCGCCAAAATTTGGTGATTTTCGGGATAATTATTTTAAGTTCGGATGCACTTGACACACAAAATGTAAATTTTTGGACATCACTAACCTACGCAAAAATACCATTCCTGATGGATCGTCGGTACTTTCCTGATAGGGCGAGAAAAAAATATACCTGATAGGGTTTTAAAAAAGGGCCTCCAAAATACTATACTACTATAATAAAAAGGTTAGGATTAAGGTTCATTTTTTAAACCCTATCAGGAACAGTGTTCAAATTACACTTTTAATCATCAAGATCGGTATTGCCGATCCATCAGGGATAGTATTTTCTACATTTTGGTATACATCCATCATCATAAGTATTTTTTTCCAATGATTGGCAAACCGCTATTATATATCGGTCACCAATAGTTTATAAGCAATTGCAAATTAATAAGATGATCGTGCAGATTTTATGGTTTTTTAATAGACAAATAAGTGGTTATTTAAACAGTAGCTTCACACAGTGTTGTACGGTTTGACTGTCCAAAGGCTTTTTTGGTACTGTCCAACGTTCAAGTGTCCAAGTGTCCACAAGTGTCCAGAGCATATTCAAGCTTTAATAATTAATAAATTTATTTAATAAATATATGATTATATATTTTTTTATATGCTGAACATATTTTACTTAGAAATTAATATAAGCTATCTTAATAAAATTTTGAGTAATTTAAATTTATTTAATTGTTCAAAATTGTCCAAAGTGTCCAAACTTACTGTCCACAACTGTCCCGTGACAACACTGGCTTCACAAATAGAGGCTAACCCTTCAATATAACTAAACAGATTATTTATTTTATTATTTCCTATAGATGCTATAATATAAAGAAACTTCAATTAAAGTTATAGAATCAAAATTATACCCATGTGATTGAGTTTCGGATAATTTAATGGCCACAAATCAGTAATTAAGCATAAAATATGTCTGTTAATTCATAAGCAATTGTCAAATTATAGAATCATTATACAAATTTCTACAGTTTTCTCTTAGAAAAATAATGCTTGTTTTTATAATGATTTTACAAACCATATGCTAACCTTTATTGTATAACTAAATACAAATATAGTGCCAGTCTGTTTTTTATAATTATTTACTTTATTTTTTTCTATAACTATTGTAATACTGAAAAAACCTCAATCAAGGTTATAGAACAATAATTATATGTATAACTTGCATATAATTATCTTGTAAGTTTGTCTAATAATTATATAGCAATAAAGGTAATAAGTATTAAATTATGGGTGCTTTTAGGCATCTCTGACCAGAGATGCCTAGTTTATTCATCTCTGGCCTAATAGCCAATCAAAATGCAAATATATCATGTGATGCACATTTTTGTGTAGCACAATAGTTACACAAAGTACAATTCTCCTGGATCAGTCTGACGAAGCAAAACAACAAAAAAATGCGAAAAAAATAAAAAAAGTGAAAAATACAAAAAACGGCCATCTAAACCT